TGTTTCCGGATCCAATCGTCACCCAAAAGTGACCCCAACTCGCTATCCTTCACTTTTTGTATAACATACCTTCCATTATTCATCATATAAACAGAGCACAAAGCAGAGTCACTATAAATCTTGGACTTCATCTCCAAATTACTCTCTAAAAGCTCCATAATCCACGCCATCTGAACTGACATTGATGATAAAGACGCCCGTCTATCATCAATCTTATTAGGTGGAACGACCACATTGCTTTCATCGAAAACTTGTTCTAATGTTTGTCACGAGCGACATGCGGCACGGAGATAGTTCATTACATAACGAGTGATAGGATGAAGTCCGCCGCCAGGAACAGCAGCCTTAGCCGGGTCTCGCCGAATCAAATTCTCTAATTCCATGAATATCCCTCTAATTGATTCTCCTAATCTCTTCCAGATGGTAATCGCTTCGTTTCTAAGGACCAAACAGAGAATACGGAATCGAATTCAGGCATCACGTCTCGCAATGTCTCGAACACATCAAGAACTTTGAAAAGTCTCTCAGGGGATCGGCTTCCAATAGCTACGGCATCGGAAACTATCCATGATATTTAGTTCACAAATAGATGCCGAAAAGCTATGCGCTAAATGCATAAAAAAATTACCTAGAATAGAATTCCATTCATTACAACACAAATGAGCCCTGAGGCTGGCTACTTCCTGCCACCAGATGATCCGTTGGCCCCCTCAAACAACTTGTTAATCCTAGCCTCGATATCCTCTGGATCGAACCTATTAAGCCTACCAGCGTTCCTCCCGATCTCAGGAACCTTTGAAGCCTCCCCGTGAAGTTTCTATACGCTGGTAATAAAAGTCTAGACACCGAAATCCTCAGCTCTTCTCTCAGCTGTTGGTCGAATACAACCCATGATGACTGTTTTTTTACATACATCCTCGAATTGGGAATCGGTTGAGCTACGGGGATCTGATGATCAAGACCTGCACCGTTGTGAAGAAGACCTTCTTCGTGTTCATCATTGTCCTCGTCAGAATCGAATGATAAGTTCCCAGTTGACTCAATGTTGTTCCAACTCAGTTCAAACGACTCGGCACCTCGGTCCATAAGAGATCTGAACTCATCCTCGACGCGGAACATGGCCTGTTGCATAAGGTCATCGGCGCGTACAAGACAAGCGCCAACGGATTTCTCTGCGGCCATGGGGCTCCAGTCCCTGATGGTACGAATCAAGTCGTCAATAGCGTCAAGGAAGGCGGAGGAATCGGCGGTGTGAGCCCAGATGGGTTGATTAAGCGCCACGTATTGGGAGATCTGACGGTCCAAGGAATGAAGGGCACGCTCGAGGGCGGCGCAGCCACGAGGGTTGTTTTCGTCAACCATTTTATCGGACAACTTCTCGCGAGAAAATCTACCGTCGAAGTTGGAGAAGATCTGCAAAATATCGTCGGCCATGGTGTCGTTTTGGCCCAGCGTCTTGGCTATATGCCTGGCCACCGCAAGCAGCTTCTCTTCACCGTTCCCAGCCATGGGTAACAAAAAAAAAACAACGGTAATAACTACTTATCTATACCTCAGCCAGGCCTAGCCTACTACTTTACAACTTAGAACCCCAAACCAAGTAACCACGCGTTCTCTGTTTTCGGAAATATAAATTAAACGGTTAGGGTTTGTTGATAGGAATTGAGGGAGCTGAGTTTGGAGTTGGGGAGAAAGGAAGGGGAAGGCAGAGTGAAAGTGATAAAAAAAACAAGGAAAAGGCATTGGGAAACGCGGTTTCATAGATGAAATGTCGTTGGAGTGAAAAAAATGGTTTGGAAGTTATGAAACCCACCAAACAACAAAACACAAAACCAAAAAAAAAAAACCTTTTGATTTGGTTTTACCGTTAACCGAAGCTGGATTCACCGTTCTTCTAATAACCTTTTGGATCTTAGTACACTGTTCTTATATACATTAACACACTTAGGTGGTGTTTATTTTTGCAGAGGTAAAAGGTCTGTAGTTTACGGATTACATCTGTAGGCATCTACAGTAAAAGAGGTGGATCAAAAGTCTGCAGTCTGCAAGAAAAAGAATGTTTGTTTTTTAACGTCTGTAGACTGCTAAAATAAACTGAAATATAAATAACCTGATTTTTTAAACTTAAAAGAGTTTTGTAATACTGAAATTTAAATAATTTTAGTTTTATTATAATAAAATTTAAATAATCATACAACTACAATAATAAATATTTTAAAATAAATCAATCCATATTTTAAAATAAATCAATCCATATTTTAAAATAATTTTTTTCATATTTTAAAATAAATCAATCCATATTTTAAAATAAAATTTTCCATATTTTAAAATAAATCAATCCATATTTTAAAATAAATCAATTCATATTTTAAAATAAATCAATACATATTTTAAAATAAATCAATCCGTCTTTTAAAATAAATCAATCCATATTTTAAAATAAAATTTTTCATATTTTAAAATAAATCAATCCATATTTTTAAATAAATCAATCTATATTTTAAAATAAATCAATCCATATTTTAAAATAAATCGATCCATATTTTAAAATAATTTTTTCCATATTTTAAAATAAATCAATCCATATTTTAAAATAAATTTTTCTATATTTTAAAATAAATCAATCCATATTTTAAAATAAATCAATTCATATTTTAAAATAAATCAATCCACATTTTAAAATAAATCAATCCATATTTTAAAATAAATCAATTCATATTTTAAAATAAATTTTAAAATAGATTTAAATAATTTTAATTTCTTAGAAGAATTTTGAAGACCTTTGAAGACATAAAACCATGTCTGCACCAAGAAGTCATCGCACAGACGTTAGAAGAGCTTCTGTCTTCTAAAAAACAAACGGTCTGCGAAGTCCAATGTCTGTGCGTGGTCTGCGCGGCGCAGACATAAGAGCTTTGCAGACCTTGCACAATAAAAATAAACACCACCTTACTCATGTTTAATTTTGTCATTATGCATATATAATATAAACTCAATTACTTTGGTAATATAAACATTATTAGAGATACATACGTTGTCTTACATCATTTTATTTTTCTTAATATAAACCTAGATGTTGAAATATATTTAGAGTTAATTTTGTTGATTTAAGAATTTTCTATTAAAAATAGATTCTTTGTTATAATTTTAATTATATACAGTTAAAAAAATCGTTAAGTAACACGTGTCACATTGATATTTTAAAAAAAATATTTTTAAATGATATCTTTTTAAAAAATAAAAAATATAAATGTAACACGTGTCACTTAATAATTTTTTTAACGGTAGAAAATTAAAAGTGTAATGTAGAAAAATTATATACCTATTTTTAATGTATAATTCTTTATGCACAAAAAGTTAACTGTGGGTATTGTTTAGACATGTATTTTTGTGTTAGACTTTTTATTTTTTATTCTAAACAGTGTATGAGAATTTAGCTTTAAATTTTGGTTTTTAATTTAAAATAATATAAATTAAAAATAGAATATAGTATTTATGAACATTTCTTAAACTTATAAATAAGTTGCATGATTTAGAACACTTACGAGTATTTTTGCATTTGGCATGTTCCACATTTTTTAACTTTTCAAACATTAAATCCTAACTAATTTGCTCATAATATGTATTTCATTCATACAAACTATATGCAGTCTGAGTCGAATTTGGTTTTTGAAAAACATCTTTGAAGGTGATTTGTTAAGTGTGATCAACAAAATGACAAGCTCCACTATTGATCCGTGCCCTTATTCGAAAGATGCAATTTCTTGTAAGTCATTTTGAGCAGATTTCGTTCAACCATGTGCGAAGAAATCAAAACCTCCCAGCCGCAAGTGATTTGGGTCGAAGAAACACCTCCTGAAGTTGGATTAGTAGCCGCTCGAGACCAATGGTGGGTTGATCCGTCGTATTAAGCCAGGATCCTTCACTAGTTTCTGACCGGAGATTCTTCATTCCTTCTCCATCCCTCTGTTTTCATCTCAATGCACCAGTCATTACCTTGCTCTAAATCTTCCACATATGGAAGTTCGTTGTCTTCTTCACTCTCCGTTTATTTTGTTTCGCTTATTTTCAGTTACTTTGTCTTTTTGATAAAGTTAGTTTTCTACCGGGTGGGTCTATCCCCAACCACCTATTCTTCTCAAGTACTTGATTAAATTTTAGAAAAATTTCATATTGCCTGCTGTGTTTGAACAGGGGGGGAAATTAGCCAATAAATGATTGGATGATGATCATATTAGCTTAGTAGAACGGATCTTATATCACATTCTCAAACTCAATCAACTTAAACCAACTTTATTTGATCATGAAAAATAAACCACTCAAACAACTCCAACTAAAACTCTCAAAATGACCCAAATCCAAAATAATTCATACCTGAAATAACCGAAATTCAAAATGATATGAACCGTAATGAACCAACCTAATAGACCAAACCTTAAAACAGCTAGAACCAATAGTAATCAAAATCCAAAATGGCCCCAGCAAAAACAACCTAAAACTTTTAATATATAAACTAACCCAAATAAACCAACAAGTCTACTTTTCTTATTTATTAATTTGAGATAAGTACAAACAATATCTGTTCATAGATAACTCTCCACCAATTGACATTGAACACCCACACCCCTAGCATTCCTAGTACTCAAACCCAAGATCTCAAGGAATATCAACAATTCCTTTACCTCCTAAGTCGCTTGATTCGTGCCCAATAAGTCTACCTTGAACACTGATGAAGGGAAGCTATTATTCATTTATATATAAATTATAGCATGCAATGTAAGGATAGAAACAAACAAGGAGATCTTCCTATCATCTTCAAATTCTTTCCAACTCACTTCCTTTACCTGAAGGCAAATATATAAAGATGCAAAGAATGATAATATCATCTCACCTCATAGACAACGACTCAAAATAATATACCAAACAATTTTTAACATTGACTGAAGTGCAGGTTTGGTACTCGTTCAGCAAACTTTCTTACACACAAATCAGGACCCTAATTTTTTTACTCTAATCTAAGCAGTCCAATTGAAAATATTATTAACTAACCAAACTATTCCCTCCGTTTTCTTCATTCTTGTTATTCTTATTTTTAAAACTGTCTCCTAACATGGACTATAAATAAATAAATAAAAGTATAAGACCAAAAAAAAATTAGAAAAATAGTTAATCTACATCAAACATTCATCAGCTATCTCTTGCATATTCACTCGTCTCCTCCGCAACCTTTGCCCACACATCTGAAATTTTCTCAGCATATCCTACCTGTTACATTTCCACAAATATATGTGAGCTACACAATAACTCCACTGTGTATTGGCTTCTGTCTAGATAGCAGCATTTTTCATTTTCTTTCTTTTAAAATTCATAAGTACGTTACGATAGTTTAACTGCAGAAACTGAATTACCCATACTCATGCTAAAAGGAAGGGGAAGTAGGCAGCATACACTAGTAATAGCCTTTTAATAGCCATGTAATGTAGCAGTAGAAACAAGGACAACAAAATCGGTTCACAAACCCCAAGGACCTCTCGTAAAGAGGGAAAAGAGAAGAAAAGGGGGAGGGCGCATGATCACTAAGCCACCATGAAGAAATATGCAACCACCTTTTACTAGGGTATTAAAACTGGGCAAATATACCTAAAAGCAAATCAACTGTTCGGTTTATATGTCAAGGCAATCCCCAATAGGCTTGGTAACATAACAGAAGTTCTACCCAATAAAATTGAGGGTACAGAATACGGTTGTTATCCTACCTGTTACATTTCCACAAATATATGTGAGCTACACAATAACTCCACTGTGTATTGGCTTCTGTCTAGATAGCAGCATTTTTCATTTTCTTTCTTTTAAAATTCATAAGTACGTTACGATAGTTTAACTGCAGAAACTGAATACCCATACTCATGCTAAAAGGAAGGGGAAGTAGGCAGCATACACTAGTAATAGCCTTTTAATAGCCATGTAATGTAGCAGTAGAAACAAGGACAACAAAATCGGTTCACAAACCCCAAGGACCTCTCGTAAAGAGGGAAAAGAGAAGAAAAGGGGGAGGGCGGCATGATCACTAAGCCACCATGAAGAAATATGCAACCACCTTTTACTAGGGTATTAAAACTGGGCAAATATACCTAAAAGCAAATCAACTGTTCGGTTTATATGTCAAGGCAATCCCCAATAGGCTTGGTAACCTAACAGAAGTTCTACCCAATAAAATTGAGGGTACAGAATACGGTTGTTTCAATCAAACAAGTTTAAGAAAAGATAATGTACATAGAATCCTCAAACAAAGTTAATTAGAGCTTCTTTTGCACAATAAGATCACCAACATGGACTGGAAAACTAGAAACTACAATTACCTGATTTACAACAAACCCCTTCAACATGTTCATGAAGTCAACATGTCTTTCTTTGTCAAGCCTTTCAAGCTCACACCTGTTATTTTCCTGCAGTTACATCATCATGAAACAATCTTAGAAATTGAAAATAACTGTGAAAATGCAGACCATGTACTAGAAAATGTAAATATAAATCACATCATGTAAGTGCCTACAAAATCCACAATAAAAGGATCCGATATTATACGTTTGTCTGATACAAAAGAGAGCAAAATCAGAACCAGACTAAAACAGAGGAACCAGGGTACATTGTTGTGCCCCTCTTTTCTTTCAATTTACCACATGAAGCAGGAGACAGAGAGATAGAACTAGATATACCATTATTTTCTTTAAGTTAATCCTATCATCAGTGTTGTCAAGATGTGCACCTAAGTGCACCTGCACCTAGGACCTTAGTGCTAGACAAACAATTCCTCACACCCTTTCAGGTTGGGTGCATTTGATCAAGCGCATGCAGCATGCCTGGCACAACCAAGCATGATTTTTGTAAGGCAATAAGCATAAAAAAAACCTGCCTCGATGTTTTCTTCTGTTTCTTTTAGTTCACTTTCTTCATTAGATGTACCTTACTAGTAGAATATCGTGGTATCAAACTCTCCATAAGGAAAAATGCATACTGATCGACAAAAAGATTGCATGTTTTGTAGAAAAATTAGATCAGGCAATATAACAGTTCTAGTGCCTAGAGTGCACCTTGCACCGTTGTCAACATTGCCTATCACATCTTCAGCTGCTCTTTCACATCCTGCTTTAATAGCTTAACTTAAGATTTAACAAGGTGGCAACCTAAGAGCAGTAATATAATTAATATTACTATTATAATTATAGAAATATTTTTATACATTTCTTATCCATCTAGATACTAGATATCATTCCCTATTTGGCTCCATAAGAAAGCAAAGATGATAACTTTTTGAAGTTCTTTTGAAAACTAAGCATGCTTTATACATGCACAAACAGAAGGAGATATTAATAAGAACCAACTACTAAAATAGTCCAAGCGGTGGAGAAAACATATATGACATGAATGGACAAGAGCTACAGTCTAATAATAGCTAAAGGATAGAATTGGTTGCCTCAATCTCCTGGTTATAAGACTATCATCGGAATACTCAACAAGTTAGGAGTGAACAACCTTTATCACAAACAATTTAATGGATATCTAGCACTGACTCAAACATGCAATGTACAAAGGATATATTAATGATCATAATATGACCACAAGAAAAAATTAACACGTCAACAAAAGCAGAAAAAAGTTGTCTTTAGATTAAGATAAAAAGGACATGAAATTTATTTACCTTGATTCGATCGTATTCTCTTATGGCAACATTTTTGGCGTCTTCAGTAACCCGTATAGTCTCTTTCAGCTCCTCTATCTTGTGAACCCTAGATCTGTCACCACCAAATATTTTTGACGACGCAGCTTCAAGTTTCTCAGCCCTTGAATGGAGTGTAGATAGTTCTGATAGGAGAGTTTGGACCGTCAATAAAGCACTTGATCGATCCGCAAATGCACCATGCACAGCTAACATAAGCACAAGGTATTCATGAAGTGTGTCCTGAAATGGACAAAGAACAAAGTACATTATAAATGATTAGAACTCAGTTCAAATATAGAAATCACAACAGAAATTGGAATTGCCAGAAATAATTCCTTGAACTAATGCATGCGCTAACAACAGTAATTATCTTCTCAAGTGATCAACAAGCCCTACATTCACCATAGCTTTGGACCTTTAAAAGTTGTCATTGCCAAATTCACTGATTACTAGAGATTTAGTTTATTGTAAACACATATTCTTGTACAAAAACTATATTATTCCACCAAATGAATACTCATGGATATCTACATGCCATGTTTAAGTTCAACGAATAAAATGAGGAAAAGTTTTTTTGCACATCACCAAATGCTTGACAGTCAGCGCATTCAGTTCTCGATAAAATCTGCTAGCTTTGACTGCAGCCGTAGCTAAACATTTCATGTCAGCAGCCCGCACTCTCTGAGAATTGTACATAGCCTCCTCATTCTCAAACTTAGTCAGCTTAATAAATGTCAATCCTAATTCTCCCATTGTCTCTCCCATATCTTGCTGTGCTTTAACAAGAGCCTCGGCCTAAAAGAAAATTAAAAAGATCCAAAAACAAAACCATGATCAAGGACTTCATCCCACAAGATTAAATTGTGCATTTCAAACTCCTAAAAGAACAAAAACATTACCTGCAGAGAAGCATTGCTGATTTGTTGCTCAAGATCATGAATCCACTCTTTCTTCTCCATAAACACCTTATCCTCCTCCACCACCGGTGGTTTAGAACCACCCCAATCATTTGCAACAGACTGCCTCAATTCCTTAAACAAACGCAACAAATCCCTCCCACCTTTCGCCGGATGTACAACCTCATGTGGTGCCTCCACTGAGGTACTTTCCCCGAACAACTGCTTAGGCAATTTCACAGCACCATCAAGCATCCGTGAAGCTACATCGGTGCTCGTAGGCATCGGAAGTCTCCCTTCAACCTGCAAAAACACCTTCAATTCATCACTTAGTCTAATGACCGGATGCTCGGCAAGCCTCCTCAAATACTTCTCCAATGCAACCCTTCTTTGCTCCACAAATTCTTGCACCTGCATCACCTGAGATTCAACCACATTTTTATCTGGCCTCGGCGGAATAAAATACCCACGGTAAGCTTCGGCTAACCGATCCGACAATGTGACCACATCCCTAAACCTTCTCCTGACACTAAATTCGGGCGATCCAAAATCTGGAATGTTGGTTCTCGTGGTAATTAGATAAGTGTAATAAGTATTACCTCCGGGAACAAGTGAATTCGTGGTCTCCTGCTCCTTTTTAGGGTTAGAAACCGTGATTTTGATGTAATCAGAGCAGGACGATGGGGACCTGGAGAGTGAGAAGGAAGAATCCGAATCCTGAGACTTGGAGTCGATGCGGTTGATTTCATTGGCAGAGTTGTCATCGAAAGGACTGAAGATGACGTCAGCGTATGAAGGAGGCTCGATGTAGGAGTTATTATCAGACGCGTTAGGGTTTTGATAGACCAGAGGTGAGAGCAAGGGATCGGAATCGGCAGGAGTTGAGAACACCGGCGGGGAAAGCGGACGGTGCGTGGACTCGTAAATTGATGAGTTGGCGCTCCGGAAACTGGAGTAGGTGTTGTTATTGTTGGGGTGGTCAGTGGTGAGTGGGTCGTCGAGAACGAGGTTTTCCATTTCTTCACGGGGAACTAAGAGGTGAGCTTCCTCGAAGCCAGGGTTCTCAGAGCCCATCATCTTTAACAATTCGAATCAAAACTTTCCCAGTAAAATCAAAAGAAAGATGGATTAAATTAGAAGAGTTTAAATGAGGTAGGGTTATCGATGATTCCGAGAGGGGAGCGTCAACTCGAGCAGGAGTGCACAACACGCTGAGGGGCTCTACGTGGAAGGCGAAGAGGACGATGAAGATGGTAGGGAAGGAGGAAGATTAGCGTGGCGCGTGGGGTTGGGTGCATCGGAGCATTGGAAAACGTGAAGGAAAAAATTCGGTGGATAAACTTCGAACTCAAACAGAAACAAAAAACCGTAATGTGCCTTTTGTTTTTAGTTGAATCGATTAACTTAACGTCGCTGATTGAAGTGTGTTTTGGGAATTGGACTTCGGCCTTTTCATATATTTTCATTTATGGATTTGTTTGGATCATCAAGCTAATACTAGTGCCCGCTGGTTTTTTTGGCTCAATAGATAAACCGGAAGAAAAAAATTTTGACAGAGAGATTTATTCTAAGATCTACTATATTTGTTATGATATTTGTGAAACTCTTTACTTCGAAAGTGATGAGTATTAATAAAAATATTTTTATTTAAACTTATTATGTCGAGATGATAAATTTTAATAAAATATAATTTTTTTATTAAATTTTATCGTATAAAGTTTTAATAAGAAAACATATTTTATTAAAACCTCTAAACTCAATATGACAAATTGTAAGTTATCGTAACAAATCTTGTAAATCCCTTCATAAACTTCTATATACCCTATTGAGCTAATAATTAATTAAACTATTTGCCCACTTCATTGTTCCAAACATCGGCTGACCTTGAATTGAAACCCAAGATTAAATGATTCAAAGGAAACACAGGCTGCACTTTCCCTTTGCCATAATACTAAAAAATCTCCCAACTTTTAACTAAATAGTAATTTTGACTTTTTTTTAATATTTTATCCATTAACATTTCATTTTTAGGTTAAAAAAGTCTTTGTTGATGAAAATTGTTAGTTAACAAAGATTAACATTCCAAATTAAGAACATTTTTACCTTAAACATAAACGTTAAGGACAAATGCTTTAAAAACAAATAAAGACTATCTGGTCAAATATTAAATCTATTTTTTAACATTATTCGTTTTCCTTTTTCATGGAAGCAAGATTATTTTATCATTTTTAAACGGCATTATTTTAGAAATTGTCTAGGTTTGAATATTTGTTAATGAGTTTTTATTTTCATTTTATTAACCGATTATTAAGTTAATTGTATTAATAGATCAACAATTATATGTTGATTGAGTGTTATCATTGGTACAAAATAAATAAAAACGAGAAATCGAACTTACTTAAATAGTTAATACTATTGTTTATTTTTTGTGAGAGGTGAATTTGATTGGTATAGGCATTGTTCAATAAGAACAATCATATTCTAGTCTAGTGGTTTTGAGTTAGTATGTTTATCAAGTCTTGAGAGGGAGGTTGATATCAATTATAATATTTTTATTGGTAATTTATTATTAATTCAATTTTTAAATAATAATAATTTATGCCAATGATAGTTTATTTATATATTAAATTAATTAAAAATGTTTTTAATAAAATACTACAAAGTGTAAGGATATACAATAAATATGAGTTAAAAAAACTTCGATTAAAGATTAACTGAGTCAGTTACGTAAAAAAATTAGGCTTAATACAAAAATAAGTGCCTAAAGAATGTCTCAAAAAACGTTTTAGTGCTTAAATAATTTTTCGCTAAAAATAGATGGATAAAGTTTTCTCCGTTACACTTTTAGGTGTCTACCGTTTAAAAAAATCGTTAAGTGACACGTGCCACGTCCAGATTTTTTTTAAATAGCGAAAAAATCTTTAGGCACCAAAATTTAATTTTGAGTATAGTTTAGGTACTTATTTTTATATTAAGCCAAAAACTTATAACCTAATTACAAACTATAAAAAATTTGGACGTGACACGTGTCACTTAACAAATTTTTTAAATGGTGGGTACCTAAAAGTATAACGGATAAAACTTTAGTCACTTATTTTTAGCAAAAAAAAATTTAGGCACCAAAAGTTAATTTTAAGTATAGTTTAGGCACTTATTTTTATATTAAACCAAAAATTTATAACCTAATTACAAACTAGTTTTGAATTCAGATAACCTACTAACAAATACTACAGCCCAATAACCACTTTCAACAACTTCATTAATACACTAACAACCCACGTGCTTAATTGTTTAACAATATTCTGATTTAGTTGGTTGTGTGTTTATAATTTTGAATTTATTAGTTATAATTTATAATATAATTTTAACATTAATTAAGTGATAACTAATTTAAAATAATAAATATAAATTATTCCTTATAATAAAGTTATAAACATATACTAAAACAGTGTTTTAATATCATGAAATTATCTGAGCAAGGGCAAAATGATGGAATTAAACGAGGTTCAAATGTGGTTATTGAATCGATTAAGGAGTTCCTTACTCCGCCTTTAAAGATGATTAAGGCTCGTTGTGTCATGTCTCGGGGTTAGAATTTATAAATGATTTATCATATATTTAATTTATGAAGTTTTAAAATTTCAGGATTAAATTAGAAAAATAGAACGAAATAGAAAAATCCAAACCGCTCTCTCCTTCCCTTCCTCTTTCTCCTTTTTTTTATCTTTTTACTTTGAGTTTGTGTCTTTTTTATAGATCATATCAACTTTTTTTTTTATTTTGTTTAATCGACGGCGGTATTAATTTTAATGATGGTTGTCAACGGTCAATTCTTTTTTCTCTTTGTTTTTTTAATTTTTATAATAAGAATAATTCTGCATTTATAATACATTTATCTCTATTTTTATGGCATGTTTATCTCTACCTTTATGGTATGTTTTTCATTTTTTTCTCGGTCGTTTGGTCGTTCTTTTATTTATGTTTTCTCAAGATTGGATTTGATGACATCACGACTGATCAAGATGACGGTTATTTAAAATCTTTATGATATTCCCTGCCATGGACCTTTGAATTAAATTTGGATGAACGATTTTGCATTCGTGGATAGTTACTCATGACACTTGGCTCCGATTTGTTGTTCTCAGTGGTCTTTCAATAGCTTAATTCTCTTTTGTTGTTTGTTTGCCGATGCAATCAGATTTATTTGTATCTATTTTTTTCGAGTCTTTTGGTTGGGTTTTTAACATTTTTCATGTATGGTCCTTATATGATCTAAAGTGGATAATTTCAATGTTATAGAAAAATGTCCAAATTATGTATTTAATTTACGATGATAGTTGTAAACTCTTATTGTAATTTTGGTTATTTTCACTTTTTAATAATACTAGCAGCTTCTATTAAAAAAAATAGAAAAATAGAAAAATTGGGATTAGATTAATAAAATAAAAAGATTTATGATTAAATTAAACTTAAAGCAAATTTAATGGATAAAAATTAGAATTTTAAAAGTTTAGAGATAAAAATCAAAATTAAATGAAAAAAGGACTATTTATGTGAGGAGATATTTGTTTTTAAGACATTGAATAATGATATTAATAAAACTTTTACTTCTTACAAGGTTGAATTTGTTGATCTATGATAGATTAATTTAGGATTATGTGAATCTTTATTCTCTTAAATTACATAAAAAAAATTAGGGTAAAGTACACAAATGATCCCTGACTATAGGGTATTGCTTTATTAAGTCTATTAACTATTAAAAGTTATAAAATGATCATCTAACTATAGAGGGTTGCTTTGTTGAGTCCCTAGACCATTAAAAGTAACAAAATGGTCACCCGACTATTAACTATGTTCCAAACTCGTCTTTTTTATGTTAAAAATTTGATGGTATTCTAAGTTGCACATTAACTTGTTAACTGTGAAATGATAAAATTCTATCATAAAATCTCAAATGACTATCATATATCAATCATCATATTAATGTCCAATGTAACACCCCTGACCCGTACCCAAACCGGATACAAATCGAATGTGTCACATTGACCATTCAACGCTTTGACTCTTTGAAAATCCGACTAAACTTTGACAATGAAAACAAATACTGAATATTTGTACATAACTTTAATAAAACATAGTTACAAGACATGTCAGAGCATTTATTATTTACACATTTATAGTACATGCCAACAAAATTTCAAATAACAAAATCACTTATTATTCAAATCATGCCCTTGATTACTCTGCTGACTCCTCTGAACCTACGTGTGAAAACACTCACACGCTAAGTCTTTGACTTAGTGAGGTATAAATGAGTATAATAAAATAATAAAACATTGTATTAAACATTTCATAAAAAGAAACATCAAATACGAAAAATAATATACATTTCATATAAATTAAATACTCTATTATGCGCAATTCAATCCATATTAATTTGTTTAAATAGCCCAACTTATATCACTGAGAATTCAAGGTATGTGAGTACTTTGAGGTTGTGCACTATAATTGCAGTCGAAACTGCCGCGTAGAATTTGCACCAAAGTGCACGTAGAATATGCACCGAAGTACCACATAGATTTGTCTCGAAGGACCGCGTAGAATTGTCCCGAAGGACAACATAGAATTGTCCCGAAGGACCGTGTAGAACCCTTGACTCTTGGCATGCCAATTATACCTCTAATTCTCATAACACATACTTGGGCTTTTAACCATATAAATATTTCACATAGCATTATTCAAGTTATCAATTATTCAAAAAAAACATATACTCATACAAAGGATGTAATTCAAAATCATTTATTATTCTCCATATAAATCATTCATATAATCACAGAAATAAAAATCTCATAAAAAACCAATATTAGGTAGTTCATACCCAAAATATTCACATGCTATAAAAATAAATTATCATATAAAATAGTTTGAGTAATTCATACCCAAAATCATAAATAAAAATCAATTAATAATCAATATAAAATTATATTTCATAACATAATACAAATCATTGTATTAAAAAATATTCGAGGTTGGCGCATCACAAGTCGTCCTCCGATCTTGTATAAAATAAGTGAGTTGCACCCACCTTTGCCTCACTTAAGCCCTAAGCAATACATCATTTTCACTTTCGCTCACTATCTTTATACATCAATTCACTCAACACTTGCTTTCGATCGAATCTGCACGTTAACATGACCAATATGAATATCGGAGCTCAATTAATTGTTAACTAATCAGTATTTACCTAACTAAATAAAACACTTATTTCACAAATTTTAAGCTAAACAGTATCGGTACTATCGATACTTTATACCCAGTACTGATACTTTCCTTCTATGGTACTGATACTGACCTCAATATCGATACCC